AGTAACAAAACACAGGAAAAAAGTCGGGAAAAAAATAAGAAGAAAAAGCCGATTTCTGTTAATGCTAAGAACAATGAAAATAAATCAATTCGAGATTGGAAGGTTCATACTAACAGTTTGCAGAATAAGAATATGCATCAAAAAAAGGAGTCAGGCAATGTGTGGGATATTTATACTGCTCGTAAAGTATCATCCGGAAAATCAAGGGCAGTCGGTGGATTTGTATCGTGAGATAAAGGACAATAGAAAGAAAAGTAAGACATGACGAGTAAATTCATTTCATGTTAATTACCGGATTTTAGGGAATTCGCGTTTTTGAAAATTCAAATGCGAAAATTTCCCGTCAATAGTCATTAGCAAATAAAATTATCAATATCGTGTAATAACGTGAAATCACGATGGGAGGAGAAAATCAAGCCTTTTACGAGTTAATGTTCAAGAAAAAGCATTGTAATACTTTGCAGTAGAAGATAAGGTGATTTATTAATCTAATTTTTCAAACATTCGACACCATAACAAAAGACTCATCATCACACTCTGCCTTTGCTTCAATCTTTTCGATTGCAGACTCTGGTAAGGATCCAGATAATCCTCCTTCCTCTTCTTCTTTCATCGGAGACAATGTAACCTTGCCATCTTCTTTAATAACATCCAACCGTAATCCCCTTCTTACTCCTCCTCTTTCCTTTCCTTGATTAATTTGCTGTTGTTGATTATGGTCGAGCAAAGAAGAGCCAGTCGAACGTGAACGCGAATGACTAAATACCAAATTTTTTTGCCACAAATATATCGAAACTCTTTTCTTATGGCCGGGTGATGATGATATTAAATTTCTTTTTCTTCTCACGGCGACAATTGTCGCGTAGCTTATCATTAGAAATAAAAGAAGAAATAGAACGATTGCCAGTCCTATCTTCAGAATGTCGTTTGTTTGGGTGGTAGTATTGTTGTGGTCATCTCGTCGATGTAATTTTTGTGGTGATGTTGATATTGGGTCGTCATTTATAAGAAAATTGTTATTGTTTTTGGTGTACATGACAATTTCAAGTATTTTTATGATAAATTTCGTTTTTTTATAATGTCTGATAAATACGCGACTAAGGATAGACAATAACACGAGAACAACAGCCACAAAAATGCATGAGATGATTATTTAACAGGGCACCACTCACAATACACTTTCGACCAATTCCATCATTTTCAAATCAAATATATGCTTATAACACGTTATAATATCTCGCTTGATTTTAACAATAATAGCATTGTTTTTTCGCACGATTCCGTTTATAGCG